TATATGTATATACATGTGTATATGTATATACATGTGTATATGTATATGTATGTGTGTGTGTGTATATGTGTATATATGTATATATATGTGTGTGAGAAAGTGTTTGCCCCTTTCCTGATTTCTTATTTTTTTTGCATGTTTGTCACACTTAAATGTTTCAGATCATCAAACAAATTTAAATATTAGACAAAGATAACACAAGTAAACACAAAATGCAGTTTTTAAATGAAGGTTTTTATTATTAAGGGGGAAAAAAAATCCAAACCTACATGGCCCTGTGTGAAAAAGTGATTGCCCCCTAAACCTAATAACTGGTTGGGCCACCCTTAGCAGCAACAACTGCAATCAAGCGTTTGCGATAACTGGCAATGAGTCTTTTACAGCGCTGTAGAGGAATTTGGGCCCACTCATCTTTGCAGAATTGTTGTAATTCAGCCACATTGGAGGGTTTTCGAGCATGAACTGCCTTTTTAAGGTCATGCCACAGCATCTCAATCGGATTCAGGTCGGGACTTTGACTAGGCCACTCCAAAGTCTTCATTTTGTTTTTCTTAAGCCATTCAGAGGTGGACTTGCTGGTGTGTTTTGGATCATTGTCCTGCTGCAGAACCCAAGTGCGCTTCAGCTTGAGGTCACGAACAGATGGCCGGACATTCTCCTTCAGGATTTGTTGGTAGACAGCAGAATTCATGGTTCCATTTACCACAGCAAGTCTTCCAGGTCCTGAAGCAGCAAAACAGCCCCAGACCATCACACTACCACCACCATATTTTACTGTTGCTATGATGTTCCTTTTCTGAAATGCCGTGTTACGTTTACGCCAGATGTAATGGGACATACACCTTCCAAAAAGTTCAACTTTTGTCTCGTCAGTCCACAGAGTATTTTCCCAAAAGCCTTGGGGATCATCAAGATGTTTTCTGGCAAAACTGAGACGAGCCTTTATGTTCTTTTTGCTCAGCATTGGTTTTCGTCTTGGAACTCTGCCATGCAGGCCATTTTTGCCCAGTCTCTTTCTTATGGTGGAGTCATGAACACTGACCTTAATTGAGGCAAGTGAGGCCTGCAGTTCTTTGGATGTTGTTCTGGGGTCTTTTGTGACCTCTTGGATGAGTCATCGCTGCGCTCTTGGGGTAATTTTGGTCGGCCGGCCACTCCTGGGAAGGTTCACCACTGTTCCATGTTTTCGCCATTTGTGGATAATGGCTCTCACTGTGGTTCGCTGGAGTCCCAAAGCTTTAGAAATGGCTTTGTAACCTTTTCCAGACTGATAGATCTCAATTACTTTGTTTCTCATTTGTTCCTGAATTTCTTTGGATCGCAGCATGATGTCTAGCTTTTGAGGATCTTTTGGTCTACCTCACTTTGTCAGGCAGGTCCTATTTAAGTGATTTCTTGATTGAGAACAGGTGTGGCAGTAATCAGGCCTGGGTGTGGCTAGAGAAATTGAACTCAGCTTTCCAAAGATGTGATAAACCACAGTTAATTTATGTTTTAACAGGGGGGGCAATCACTTTTTCACACAGGGCCATGTAGGTTTGGATTTTTTTTTTTTTCCCCTTAATAATAAAAACCTTCATTTAAAAACTGCATTTTGTGTTTACTTGTGTTATCTTTGTCTAATATTTAAATTTGTTTGATGATCTGAAACATTTAAGTGTGACAAACATGCAAAAAAATAAGAAATCAGGAAGGGGGCAAACACTTTTTCACACGTGTGTGTGTGTGTGTGTGTGTGTGTGTGTGTGTGTGTGTGTGTGTGTGTGTGTGTGTGTGTGTGTGTGTGTGTGTGTGTGTGTGTGTGCTCTGTCTCCATTGACCTTTTGTCAGCTCACACAGCACGGGTTTGTGCTATAATTATCCTCATCCACATGCTATCGCTACTCATTTTAGGAGCCAAAGTGCGTTGGTCATATTTCATACCAGTGCAGAGGAGAAATTGTGTGATTCTGACCAGCAACATCCCCATCAGGATCAGAAATTAATCCAAATAATATTTGTGCAAACCTGTTTGTGGTCAAACAATTTTAAGAAGAGTTGAAAAATCCACAGAAATAACATTAAATGTAATATGGCTCCTGGCTACACAGGAGCAATTAATATAAATAGAGCTAATGACAACAATAAGAATCTTCTTTTCTGAGAATAACCATGCTATTCTAAGATGGCACCAATTAGTAAAAACCTTTGATCAAAGGTAAAATAAATGGCATTGGTAGAAAGTGCAATTCAGTACTTACTTCAGTGTTGAAACCTCATTGGCTGTGCTGCTGAATGATTCCCCAGCTGTTGTGGGTGTGTGTGTGTGTGTGTGTGTGTGTCCGTGTGTTTCCCCTTTTTCAGCACAGTCAGTCATTCAGTCTGGATAAGCAAACTGTGAGAGACGGCATTGTTTGACTGACAGACAGACAGACAGACAGACAGACAGACAGACAGACAGACAGACAGAGGGAGAGACGGAGAGCGACAGAAATAGAGGGGAGACAGAGAAACAAAGGGCATTATGTTTACTGTATGTTAATTCTCATTCAATGTTTATGCTAATTTAGTCTATCCACGAGCTTCGGAATTCCACATTTCTGTAGAAAAAGCGACCAAATCCCTAAATTCAATGTGAACAGAGAGAATGAGCACTCTAATGGAGTCCTAAATGAAAACCCCTTTTAATAGCATACTAAACTAACGTGTGAACAGAGAGGCACATAGCTGAACGCTTAGGTAAGATTATTTAGTTTTCCACAGCAGCACACAAATGTAGCTGTCTGGTTGACTCAGTGATTTTCAGTAGAAGGCTGCTGGTGACTTTAAGGAGACACAGAGTTTGTAGCCACGTCAGAAAAGACTTGTGATGTATAAATAATTGCAGGTCTTTTGTTATTATACCCAACATGAAGTCAATTTAAGTAGCGGAAGCTGTTTGTTTAATTTCTGGAAGTTACTCTGTAGTCGTACCTGAATGTCTGTTTAACTTTTGAGTAATCCTGGGTCTAAATGAAATGGGCTAGGGTTGCATTGTTGCAGCCAGTAACGTAAGTCTGTGGCACAACACCTGGGTTTCTCTTGTCATGTGTTGCAATCGAACACAACCAGAGGGGAGGAACTGTACAGCCCCAATCCAAGTGAGCATTTGATTAATTTAACTGAGGATGCAAACTGACACAAATTAACCTGGCCTTCAGTTGGTCTCCACTTTATAATACTGCACAGTAGAGGCAAGTAGTGGTGAATAGTTCCTCTTTGTACCACTAGAGGGCAACCTATACTTTCAGCTCTAATGGGCTGATGAAATGTCTTGTTGGGATGGATTATTATTGTTATAAATGAGGAGATAAATTGTTACAAAAACCCAGAGATGACATTTTGGCAATCATAAATCTTTATCCCTGCTGAAGACAATATTACCTTTGTCCACTCCCAATAAGTAATGCCCATCTGTCATGACTTTAAAGAAAAGAGCAATAACTGTAAGGTGTCTGTCTTTCTCTCTGTGCAGATGTGTGTAACAGTACTGATTTGCCGGAGCTCGAGATCATCAGCTTATTGGAGGAACAGCTGCCCGTCTACAAGCTGAGGGCCGACACCATCTTCGGCTACGAGCAAGATGATTGGTTGCACACGCCACTGGTGGACCCCAACTCTTCCCTCGACCTGACGACTGAACAGATAGAAGAGACCCTCAAATACTTCTGTAAGTTCATCACATAATGCAGATGTAGATGCTTTGGTGGAAAAATACAGTGTCCAACTTTATTCTTAAAATGATGAGGATTGTTGATGTAAGAATTACATTTTGTGGTTCCGCAATAGACAAAGACGACTCGTCTTAGTAATCAGAGAGAGAGGGGGGGGGCATCTTCCCATCAGTGTTGGCGTGACAGCTGACCATGGTTAGCACAACAAACAAACTCTGTCTCACTCTCTGTCGGTTGATGTTTTGCTTTCTCTTGCACTCAGCCCTTGTGTTGTGTATTTATGCACGAGTCTGCTCTCGTCTTGTCAAACTAAGAGCGGCCTTGTAATCGACGGCCACACCAGCTGTAACACGCACGCACGCACGCACGCTCGCACGCACGCTCGCACACACACCAAATTGAAAGCAAAGAAACGCACATGAAACACGTGCACACGACAGACCAAGGGAATGTAAAGTGTTTTGTTTTTTTTCACAATCACTAATTCAGTTAACTAATTCACATGTACTTGTTAAAGTGACTCGGGGTAAAACAACGTCTAAAAATAGATCAAACGTCTCATAAATAGGCTTAACTGAGAACTGTAGCTTCACCTTGTTGCCCCATGCAGACACGGTCACTTTGGCCTTGACATTTACAGCCAATGACGAAGTCATGTTGCATAAGAAACAGTATAAGGTATTCTGCAAGGGGTGTTTTGCTAAATATGCAATATAGGTTTTTGTGCTTTACTATCCACCGTTTCCTTCACATATTTTTCACTCGGTTATCCTTGTCCTGGAGACATGTTGCTTCTCATTATGACCTCAAAAAGATGGCCGGGTATCAACATCCTAAGGGCCGTGAAGGAGGACGGATGGGTCATATTCGTTTCATCTTGGTCATAAAGCTGTGTTTCACTGAAGTCTGGGGATATTTTCTCTCCACATACAGTACAGTAGGTGATAGTATTCATGTATGTATGTATTTATTTAACTACTTGTGTTTACCTGGAGCTTCTATTGGTTAAAATTGTGTTACACCATTATGAATAAACATGGTGATGTGCGCACTGGTACATCATGGTTGTTTTACTTGATTAAGTATGTAAGCCTAGCTATCGTGACAACAATATGAAAAATTACATCTATATTTATATGGATAATATTTTTTCTTATAGTATTATTTCATCTTTTTTGTTGTAGCAACTGCAAACTTACCCCAAAAAGTGGCCATGGAATTTGATATTTTAAATACATCTTCGTGAGACTGTCTTTAGCCTGATAGCTGTTGGTTGTGGCCTTCTGTTAGCACCTTCAAGCTGGTTGACTTTAAATTGTGCTCACATTGTCATTGAAATGGATGGCATTTTGTCCTGATAACTCATCATTGTTCTCCCATGCACTCTGCATGTACTCATTTTGCCTCTCTCCAACTAAAAGGACCAATCCTTGAATGCCGGTTGTGTTCATTCATTTTGGGTTAGCCACGTCACCTCTGCCAACACCGCACTGCTTTCCTGCTAACTGCTTTTACATGCTATGCTGCTCAGGCCTTGGGAGTCTGAGCCTGTTACTATAGCAACCTCACAGAAGGACACAGTGGAGGAGAGGAGGGGGCGGGAGCAAGCTAGTGATACCACTACCCCTTGATTGGCTGGAGGCATCCTCTAAACCCCGCCCACCCCACTGAGTCATGATCATCATCACTTCTGCTGCAAAACCCGTGACTGCTGCTGCTCGCTCTCTCTCACTCTCTGTATCTCCGTGTTTATCGAGTCATTGTTGGAGATGCAGCGATCCATGTGTAGAGCTAGTGATGTCACTGAGCAAGGCATGTTGCAAGAGAGAAGACGACTGTCATAGTATGACCTCAGGAAAGACTCGGCCAGAGGACGGACTGACCGGAAGCTGTAAATGGATGGAGACATGAGGGGAAAGAATCTGGCACATTTGCTGAAGCTTTGGAGTGACTGAGGAAAGGAAAGAAGACAGATAAAGATGGCAGATTCCTACTGACACATTTGCTGAAAGGCGATAAGGGATAATGTTTTTTTCCTTCTGACAATGGATGACGCAAGTAACGGTGCTGTGGGATGACACGCAGAAATGGCACCAGCATCACAACAAATATGGAGCATAATACACTGACAGTTTGCAGTTAATGAGTGTGGGGCAGAAGGGACATATGATGAGAACGGGCAGATTGTCACTAATCATGACTGTGTGCCAGCTGGCAACTGCTAAGCATGCTGGGACGGAAGAAGCGGACACTGACTAACGGACAGCACTAGTAACTAGTAAGACCCATGCTGGGACATTGTTTTTGCCAAAGATGTTTCACCTAAGTATGCTGGGACACTGCAAACGATACAGCTGTCCGTCAGAGCAGTGAGGATGAACAGACGAGGCCAGACCAGAGGTCAGAGGTTTGTCAAGGCAGACTACTACGAGCTGGACTGGTACTATGAGGAGTGTACTGATGGTAAGACGAAAGTCTGCTACAGTTTTATGCAGTGACATCTAGCTCTTGAAGAGTTGACTCTAACTACTAACGACACTGATGTTACTGGCTATGAATGGTAAGAGGTCGATTTCATATATACTAAAGTGATTTCTGTTGGTTAGTTGAACTCGGTTGTGGGCATTGTGTGAGATAAAGAAATGCATAGAACAGTGATGGCTTTGGTGTAACCGCCGTGGTGTACTGTAACCATCCAGCGACGGTACCAAAATACACAAGCTGTCTAGAAACTACACGAACACGAGTGAGCTGTCTGCTGGTCCGGCCTATTCGATCCTGAGCTCTACTTGCGTGTAAATACGTTTGTAATCACAGTTCATAGATATAAGAAGTGCTTTGATAATGCTGTGTTTGATAACCAGCTAACCGGCTTTATAATGTGTCCTCTGCTGACACACGGACTGAGGTTTAAGTAGAGAGAGGGGTGTTAGTAGGATTAAGCTGGATTTGTTCATATTAAAGAAGCTTGGTGAATATATAGACATTTATCCCCCGAACATAATAGAAAAAAGTGGGTTTTCGTTTACTTCAACACAAAAAGAATTAAGTACATTATTAATGTACTTCAACTAAACCCCTAGTGGAGCCATCTTTAACTGATTTCTTTCAACCCAGAGAACGTGACCTTGTGGACTGGCATTCACATCACAAGAACAAAAACCAAGACGGATGTTTCAGTAAGACACAGCAGCCTTAAAGCTGCAGCTACAGCAGGCAGCGGCTGCTGGATACAGTAGGTGTTGTAACATGTGATGTGTGGCAGCTGAGTCAGAGTGGCTTCTATAAAAGGCCCACAGAGTAGCTTATAGGACGAGCTGTGGGTGTAAGTGTAGGCAGTGGAAGTAAGGTGGGTTGGTTGGGATTCCTCTTTGTGAATCGGTATCAGAGGGCTGTTGGTGCTAATGTCAGCTAGCTCCTGATGAGGAAGTCACCGGTGGCCAAAACAGTTTATAATGAGGATATAGGCAGCTAGTAGACTGTCTCAGTGAGTGAGTGGCTGAGTGAAAGGAAGCAAAGTTTTTCGAGAGAAAGTTAAAGCAGTGAAATCCTTTTATTAGGATTCGGGGCTGGCGAAAACTAAATAAGTTTAAAAAAACAAAACAAAAAAAACTAATTAAAAAATACATATAGCAAGACGATAATGAAGAAAGGATGGCTGCAAATCTGTAAAATTGCCCATTCATTTTAGAATTTGGCACAGTGATGTGCATTTATGTAACGTAGCCCAGCTTCTTACGACAGTGTTGCAATCTTGCAGCAGTATGTAACCTGTGTGGATAACGCAGCTACAGATTGATACACACACACACGTACAGTAAAGACATGAGGAGACTGATGGTCCCGGTTCATGTGACATGTGTGACTAACAGCAGGTTATAGAACTGATTGGTTGGTGACCAGCCTGTTGGCTCTGGCTCTTCCTCCCTCCTCCCTCCCTCCCTCTGTATCTTTCTATCGTTGTCTCTCCCCCCCTTGTCCTGTAAAGAAGCTTGCGTATAATCCATGTCCTAATGTGCTCTGTAATCCATTTCACTCACTACAGCTACAACCTGCATAATTATTATCCATTCGGACGCGGGTGCATTTTTGTGAATTTGATAGCAGTACATTGAGGTTATCTGTGCATTTAATGTGAAGGTTTGATGGATTAAGGGAGAGAGTGATCCATTAGTTGTTATGTGCAGTATGTTATGCATGTTACAGGGATTCTCTGTAGAGATTCTTACATAACAGTTTGAGGCGGCCCAGCACCTCCCCCATGTCAGCTGTGCAGCTTAAACATCTGCAATATTATTTATCCGTGGCATCTAACTCAGGTTTGATTTTTATTTTTTTACAACTGGGCTTGATGCTGAAATAAACAAATGAGCGTACAGTTTTTTTGATAAATCTTCTTGTGGAGGCAGAAATAGAAAGCAGCTGGTTTGGTGTTATTCTGAGATGTGCAAGGGAGGGATGTGGAAGTAGGTTGGCTTATATTTAGCCCAATGATTTGCATGCTGCTCTAAGAAACCCTTGTCGATGGCAGCCTGCCAAATATTCTTTGGCACTTCTAGCAGCCTTCAAAACAAAAGGTTGGATGGAGGGCGACCAGGGCGGAGGGCGAGGGCTGAGAAAGAGGGCACGCTATCCCTCCACTGGGGATGCGACGGGATGGAGGGATAATTATAGGAAACGAGAATGAAGCTGGGAGACAAAGCACGGATTGTTGTGTCGGCATTTAATTTGGTTTTAGAAACCACTGAAAACGAATTGTTTGTTTCCATGTCTATATAGATAAAAGCTTTGAACTTGAAATTGTTTCCCTTCTATCCCGCAAGTTTGCTAAGAGTCGAAACTATGGAAGCGCATTGGATTCCCAAAAGAAAATCCGGATCTCGTACCTATGATACAGTTTCTCAAAATATGCGTTTTTTTCTTGTGATTACGAGATAGTAACTCAAAAGATGAGGCGATTCATTACTTTTTTTTTTTTTTATTGCAGTGCGCTTTTGTACCAAACTTATCAATATAAAAACTATTTGATTTTGGAAGTTTTGTTTTACTCAGAAATGACCTGCTTTATTTTAGAAACTCAGTGTTGAACTCTGTCAGCAAGTAAGACTATTATAAGAGGCTTGAAGGACACAAACAGAGATTGTTGTAGCAAGGTGGATTTCTTGATTTCGACAGGTTTATATATGCAGCAGTCTAAAATTGTGTAAATTTGCTGTTCAAATTAGTAATTTTCTTCCAAATCACTGTACAAAGCATGAGACTTCACAAACAAATGAGACGGAAAGCGGGAGAGTGTATGAAAAGGATAACGGAAAAACAAGTGGGAGTGTAAAAAGTGAATGTGACCAGAAAAGCAACGGGAGAGGGAAAACACAGCCCAAAAGTACTGAGCGCTGTTTGTCCGGGTCTCCTTTGTTGCCTGCAGCATTGCATCCATAGGACCATTGAGTGGAGTTACTCAAGCATGCAGGACAGTACTGACCTGGCATCAGTTTACTCAACCAATTACAGCAATTATAACAGTTGAGCAGTGACTAATGAGCAGAAAAGCGGGGCTGCTTTGATGCGTCCATATTTATCTACGAAGGGTCGGATCTTCTGGGTCATACGAGCTCTGCTCACATGAACATGTGACATTGACATGCGGTATATACAGTTATTCTCCACTTGTCTTTATGAATGTGAAAAGAAAAGTGTGGAACATATGATTGTAAAATATGGTAGTCATGTCTCAACGATAGTAACATTCATTACAGTTTATTAAAATGTGCATGGACCAGCACGCAGGACGACCGAATGATTCTAACGATAAGATAAAGGTTAGAATCTGGAAAGTTTCGGTCATCAAGCCACAAGGAAGTCTCTCAAACTGAATGATTCAGTTAATCATTCAGTTTGAGAGACTTCCTTGTTCCTTCTTTAGTTAATTTAACTGGAATAACAAACTAAATATGCTGCAGATTCAAAATACGTGTTGGTATTTTTTAAAACTCTTACAAAGACTTTACTAATGGACCCACACTTTTGCCAGTATGGAGGCAGGCTTGTAGAGACAGGTTTGAAGTTTGGCAATGGACTCATCCTTTTTTCATCCATTTTCCATAAACCCTTATTGAAGATGCTGCATAGTCACAGTTGAAAGTAGCAGTCTTTTTTCAGGGCAGTAGTTTGAAATTGATCTTGCTATTTTAATGCTTCACATTATATCCTTGCAAAGAACAATTGGGAGTTTTATAATGACTCCACAGTTTGGCGCATGTAAAAACATGTATTGAAAATCCTTTTTATTAATTTAATCGATTGCCACCCTTCCAGCCCAAATGAAGCTGGCTATCCCATGAATCACACCTGATCTTACAGGTCAGAGGTTTGACATTCACATATAAAGGTTTCACTGCGACTGGCACGCCCTGGTAACAGGTGCTGGTCTATTATCGTTTGCTCAGCCCCATTGTTGCCATAGTGGCTGAACAGGACTGTACCAAGTTAGTTTCACTCGAGGGGGGTTGTAAAAGGAATTGCTTTCTTTTGGAGTCGAAGCCTACCTGAGAAACAGGTGTCTCTCTCAGCGCTGATTTGCTCCTGTTGGTGCCAGCCTGAACCATTTCCAAGTGGAAAAAGTTGAAAAGTATTGAAAGGTTAAGGATTACAGATAAATAAATATTACAGATTATTATTTAAATGCTCTCATGTGCTGTGTTAAATCTATTTTAACCTAGTTTTATGATGGACAGCCTCCTCTTTACAGTGTGTGTCTGTGTCCACCCCCCTGTCTGTGGTAAAGTAGAGTAGGCCATCCACTGACCAATCCCAGAGGAGATGGGGAGGAGTCAGGTTATCTGGTTGTCTCACAGAGCTACCTCAAGGGACAACTGATACACAAACTTGTAGAAACTCCATCAGCAGACATCATTTGTTACTTGACAGATGCACAGACTTTGCCACTCATCTACAATGGAGTATTTTGAGAGACATACTACACTACACACACCTATTGTCCTCTTGGGAACAAACACTTTGTTAGATGTGTACTTTCACATCTAGGCACACACTGATTAGGTATTGATTCATAGATTAAATCACACACACACACCCACAAATGCACACAGCCAAAGTAGGAGCCATGGTGTTGCTTCTGCAGGCGTTGTGGTTTAGAGGTTAGCCTTAGTGCCAGAGTGGAGGATGGCACTGCTCACAGCTGCCGAGGACGAGCTGGATTACTCCAACCAGCCAGAGGAGGACGAGGAATATGTTTGTCTACCCACTCATGATAGCACGGAGCAGGAAGAAGAAGAAGAGTATGTTGGTGTTCCCTCTCATGGAAGCACAGAGCAGCAGCAGCAGGAGGAGGAAGAAGAGATGGATGAAGAGCAACAGGTTTTGTGGGAAGGTAGACTTCTTTGTAATCGCGGGCATCATCTCTGTTGCAATCTTCTTCTTGGTTCTCGCTAGTCTGAGTGTGCCAGCAGGCTCGGTGTATCTCGGTCTTCATTGTTTTGTTCTGAAGGGGTTTTATTGGATACCCCGTGAAACCCTTTAACGGGTACTTTGTCTCATGTGGACTGTGGCTTTATCCTACAGGTGCAGTCTCTAATGTTAGTGTTTGTCTCAGCACAGCATGGTCCGGTTACCTGCTAATTTGACATGCTCAAATATGGGCTTGGCCCTTTATCCCAGCTGTCACATCAGCATTTTAATATTTGTTTAAGAATACACAAAGCTACCTACCTGATATGTAGTTCTTTAGCTTGTATTTAATCACTTTGGGATTTTGTTAAGGGTTGAGTAACTATTCAGAATTTTTCACAGAGAGACATAGGTTGATGATGACACAGAAGAACGAGCATTTTGAGAGACGTGTACGTAAACAGTATGGTTTCATGCAGGTACTGGGGGGGCTCTGCAGGGATCTGGTTAGCTGTTAGCATTTAATACAAAATAAGCATGAATATAAGAGATATTCTGCTCAAAAAGCAACCATGATTGGTCACTTTGTAGTAGTTTTATAACGTATTTGGATCAGTACATGAGACACTGAGGTTACTGTGGCATAAAGAAGTTTTTATAGTGGCAGCTAAGATGAATTTCAACCCGGGTCCAATAAGGAAATGATACTGGATGATGCATACTTACATAATTTTACATTTTTCCAGACGTCTGGCTCCATCAGCCCGCCTGCTGCAACACAGACAGAAAACCAGATAATAGGTCCTTGTTGAGCTTTAACTTCTTTTCAACTCAGAACTCTCAGTCACCAAACATACAGTGTCTATAAAGGTAAATCTATATATAGTCTTTTTTTTAACATGATGCCTGTTGTGATCTAGATTGGTAGTGGTGAATAAGACATAACATTGAACTTCTCTCCTTTATGAGAGAGAGAGAGAGAGAGAGAGAGAGAGAGAGACTTGAGTTACGTGCTCTCCGTATAAAAAGACATCCAGATCACATTCCAATATTAAGTTGCACTTCCTTTTATGTTATCCAGCTTACAGTTCCCTTCTCTGACCTCCGTCTTCGCCTTTTCCCTCACCACCTATTTATGACTTAAAGTGGCCGAGGATCATAGCCGTGTTCTCCTTAAACCTGTTTCCCTGCTTAACTGTCAGCCTGCAAACCATCTTTTCACAGCAACAAGTAGAAGCGAAGCCAAATGTCCACTGTCATTATCAAGGCTCTCTATTGGCTCACAAGCTTCCGATTGTTATTTTCAGTTGTACCCATTTATTGATCAGACTTGGGTGGAGTGTTACCATGGTAATAAACCAGCATGTTGTTCTATAGAACACACACACACACACACACACACACACACACACACACACACACACACACACACAGAGAGAGAGAGAGACAGTATGACAGGTAAACAGGCTGCACCCTGTGCTATCAAGTTGGGTTTTTTTCACATTGGTATGCTTTCCGCTTATCACCAAGCTGGTTTGTTCCCCCGGTAACAATATGTGCCACAACAACTCACCTGGCAGAGAAGGTTATGTGATTTATTTATTTTTGTTTGCATGATCATGACTCTGTATCATGACCAAAATACTTGCAACACGAAAGCTTTTTGGTGCTATTAAGCAAATGCCGGCATGCTAACATGCTAATCTAAGATGGTGAACATTACACTTGCTTAAAAGAATTGATTAACTAAAGCACAGCCAACGGAGGCCTAGAGTCCAGCAGCCTGGCGGTACACTGCCTGGCGATGTATGAGGATATGAAAATATGCTGTTTGCATTGGCTAACTCTGTTTTGCATTGTGGGAGGCCAGCATGTCTCTTTTACAGCTCTGTTTTGTATGAGCCTGATATGACAATGGCCCTTCTAAACTGGAGTATTATTATATTATTTCTGTGGAACTGAGATAGTTAAATTGCTGTATCATATTATCTCGCTGTGTCTCCTAGTACTGTATGACACATCATGCAATGTTGGACATTACACCTCCTGACGGCGCAGCAACAAACACCTCCTCTCTCCAACTGAGAGTGTTAGAAGTGACTAACAGGGCTGTTCAAAAGTAAACCTGCTCATAGTCTAATATATCCCCACCCTGTCACTTTATCTACATGCAACTTCAGAACAACTCGAACCCAATGGGCAACACATTTTCAAATGAACCAATGAAACTAGTCGCTCTCGAGGAGCAGAGAAAATAGTTGTTTTAAATGGAATGCTTCAAATGGATGAGTTAGCCCCAGACTGAGGCTCTTACAGTTGCATGTGATGTATTCTTGTTAATCATTTAACAATCTTGTCTGGATTGTTAAGTGATTGATTTAAAGTCCGAGCTTTGTACAAGGATTGAGTTGATAATGAAGGTGTGCAGTGCTGGGAGTGGTTCTTCGCATTGACCACTGTGTCTGCACTCAGTAACTTGATAATCTTATATAATCTTGAGTTAAATTAAGTACTAGTTGACAAACTATTGCACTCCTCAATATCAATGAGGGTAGAGTAAGTATTGGAAACACCTCTTTTTACCGCGACACAATTTAACAGCACCATTAAGTTTCTCAACATCTCGAGCATGTTATATATATTCAGTCACTTACAGTAAAAAAAAAAACCTCTATTACAGTTTTAAACACTGTAAAGGAGACCTGAAATTGCTGCCATGCTACCTGGGATGAATGCTATAAGATCACAAATTGAATACATTGTTTACTATTTACTACTGTTTTTTTAATGAGTGAATTGACTGCTCAATAATCTACTTTGGGGTTTTTTGCATTAAGACCTCTTCTTTCTGTCTCTTTGTGTGCACGCAGTACTGTGTGCTGACAGAGTGGGCCAGATGACGAAGACCTACAGTGACATTGATGCCGTCACTCGACTGTTGGAGGAGGTAAGATCACGTTGAGTTAGATCAGTTAATGTAAAAAACAAAAACACAAAGGATTACAGTATATGCAGACTGAAGCACTTTGGTCAAATGTTACGGTGTGGGCTGATCACAGGTTTCTCTATGAGGTTCATGGCAAAGGAGGTTTGATGGAACCACATCATAAAACCAGCTGCCGGCAGTCGATATTCAAATCTAGGTGATCCACATCAGCTGGTGAGAAGCTCAGTCGGCTTTCTCTGTGTAAATAAAAGCTGTGAAAATAGAATGGTGTCATTGTGAAATGACCCATGAAATTCAACAGCCAGCCCGCCATCCAACTATTGACTAAACATGGCATTCAAAGATGTCACACCATCAACAAACTGTTTTCACCCTGTGAGAGATCGCCGACCTCTATTTCTGTGAGAAGTTAACTTCCTTTGGTTGACGGTGCATTAATAGCCACTATTCAGAGTTTAGTTACACTAAGTTGAACATCCTGATCTAAATAGGTGTGGACTTTGCACGCAGCACTTGAAGGTTGGCATAATTGTTATTGATTGCACCAAGACGTACAGAAAAACAGGAGCGCCTGGCAGTCATTTGTACAGATTCATAACAAGCTTTTAATTACAGTAGTTCAGTGTTGGGAGTGTTCTGCTGCTGCGGTGGGTTTGCACTTATGAGAGATCTGTGCTGCTGTGAACAATAGGAGGTTGAGGTATCAAGTGTTCTTGTTTAAATACACCCCGATTGTCCTTGAGTAACATGTGGACATTATGCAGTGTTCCTGTCACCCTCTGTTTTTTCCTTCATTCCACCTTTTCCCACCTTGTTGAGGTGTTATTGTTCACGTTTTACACTTGCTTTGCTCCTTCAAATACGTTACTCCTCGATGACACATTTACAATGCCGTCGTTTTAAAGGAATACTTTGGCATTTTGGAAACCCCACTTATTCACTTTCTTGCAGCGAGTAAGATGAAAAGATCGATAATACACTCGTATATGTAAATTCTAAATATGTAACGAGGGCCAGCAGCCAGTTAGCTTAGCGTAAAGACTGGAGACGGGGAAAACTGCTCGCACGGCTCCAAAGATAAGAGTGTTATCAGTCCTCTTATCTAACGCATGGCAAGAATAGGCATATTTTCCTAAAACGTGAAATTATTTGTTTAATATCTTATAAGTTATGTTTTCAACCGCTTTGCCGTGAGCGCACTAAACAAAACTTTCTCGTTGCAGAAAGAGCGCGACTTGGAGTTGGCAGCTCGCATCGGACAGTCGCTGCTGAAGAAAAACAAAGCTCTCAGTGCGAGGAACGAGCTGCTGGAGGAGCAAGTAGAGCACATGCGAGAGGAGGTACACAGCGTGTGTGTGTGTGTGTGTGTGTGTGTGTGTGTGTGTGTGTGTGTGTGTGTGTGTGTGTGTGTGTGTGTGTGTGTGTGTGTGTGTGTACAGTTTTTGGGAAATCTCTAAGTATATAGGCCGTTGTCATTTTTATAGCTCCTTACAGGTAGTTAGGCATGTCTTAGAACATGCTAAATCAATGTAATGTCCTCCATGGGTTCTGGAGTCGTGGCCATCTCTTTCTTTACTTTAACTCATTTTGTCTCCTTCAATGTTTCCACATATAGGTGTCTCAGTTGCGTCACGACTTGTCCATGAAAGATGAGCTGTTACAGTTCTATACCAGCGCTGCTGAGGAAAGTGAGGGGGAGTCTACCACCTCCACACCGTGAGTCTCCCTTCATTCACCTCCTCTCTCTCTCGCTAAAAAATAGAACGTAGTGCTAAAAAATAGAACGTAGTGCTAAAAAATTGGAAATTAAGTGTTCTTGTGTGGAAAAATAGCAATAAAATGTGACAGAGGCCTTTACCACAACTGAATAAAATGGGCATTTCACACCGTTTTATAGCAGGATGATTGACTGACCTGCTGATTCACATGTTTCCCTCTCGTGTGTGTGTGTTTTCAGTGTGCGTCCCAGTGAAAACAATGTGTCAACTCCCATTTCTTTCCCCCTGGACTCCTTGCAGAAGAAACTCAAAGATCTGGAGGATGAAAATAAATCATTACGAACTGAGGTACACGCACACACTTACACATAAGCTCCTGCAAACACGAAGAAACACCTTCTCTGCTTTGTTTGAACGATAAGTCTTTGTATTGCATTACTTATTGAAGTACAATTGTATTTAAATATTGTTTCCAAAAATGATGAGACCCCATGTAATAAATTCAAACCACCAATAATGATCATGAAATTCTTATTGTTCACATTTGTTTGTTTATTTATGTGTGACAGTGCACATTAAATCAAACAGACTTCAGTTCAGTTAATGTTGTTGATGTTGATTAGTTTGTTGGCAGAAACACTGTTTGTTTAATTAGTGTCTTACAGTTGAAGCGTGACCTTCTGGATATCTTTTAGGAGAGAGTTGTGTATTGGGGTGATTAATAATGACCACAGTATTGATTATTATTGTCTGTTTTGTTTTCTTCAGGCCAGTCATTTGGAGACAGAAACTATCTCTTATGAGGAGAAAGAGCTGCAACTTGTCAATGACTGTGTCAAAGAACTACGTGAGTATTGGACTGACTGAAGTCATAGTATGCTCAATACTACATTTGTCAACTACCATGTCTCTCTCTCTAAAGACAGTGAGGCAGTAAAGAGCCATTTTTATTGCAGATTCTCACTTTTGATTATTCTTTTGATGTTTCAGGTGATGCCAACCTGCAGATGTCCTCTCTGGCTGAAGAGCTTGCCAGGAAGACTGAGGACGCCTCCAGACAGCAGGAGGAGATCACACACCTCCTCTCCCAGATAGTAGACCTCCAGAAGAAGGCCAAGATGGTAGAAAACCCCCCCGACGTATCTCATCCTGATAATGTCAAATATCAGCTCTTATGGATATGTTACATTAGTTATTTATAATTTGTCTTAACAATGCCTGTGTACAATGCAATGAAGCAGAGCTTAAACTACAGTGTTTTTCATATCCTATTTCGTCTTTGGTTTTTGCAGTATGCCGTGGAGAACGAGGAGCTGACTCAGCACTTAGGTGCAGCCAAAGACGCCCAGCGACAGCTCACTGCTGAAGTAAGGCAATCCACAACCCGCTGACTACCTGCACTAATAAAGCACTACCTGTCTAATCTGATACGACACGATCATTAAAAGCCCATTTCAAGTCCTGTTGCGTGGTCCAATGTGCAAACTAGAATATATTCAAGACAAAGCTGGTCAACCGAGTCATCGCTTACGTCACTTAAATGTCAGTTCTAAGTGATTTCTTTGAATTTTGAATCAAGACATAAAAGTAATTAGATGCATGTACGTAAGTTATACCAAACAGGACTACACATGCATGTTGTGCATACATATCTTTTTTCTCTACATTTCTCCCCATGTCATCGCTCTCGATCTGTCTTTCCCCTTCCTCCAGTTGCAAGAGTTACAAGATAAGTATGCAGAGTGCATGGAGATGCTTCATGAGGCTCAGGAGGAGCTGAAGAACCTCAGAAATAAAACTCTACCGCTCAGCACAACGAGGCGTTTCCATTCTCTGGGTCTGTTCCCAATGGTGAGCTTATTTTCACTAACCAGCCTGTCAGTATCTCCATGGCCACAGCTGCTACAACATCATTTCACCTGCTTCTCCAGGACTCTCTGGCGGCAGAAATAGAGGGCACCATGAGGAAGGAACTTCAGATGGATGTTCCAGACGTAGAAGAGCAGAGGTACATGCAGTTAAGAGCCTGGCTCACCCTAAAAGGAAAACATAGATAAAGGGTTGTTAATGATGAACTTCACAGTGAAATGTTCAGTGTTGATATATGAGGACCATCAAGTCAATAAATCTGTATATATGTGATCATGTTTCTCCAGACTGCAACCTAAGCGAGTGTTCCAGACCGTGAAAAACCTGAACCTGATGCGTCAGCAGCGTTCATCGCTAGCCCCCTCCCCCCTCAACATCCCAGGCTCCAATCGGACATCATGCCTCACCTCGGGGCTCTCCAGCAGGGTGGGCACGCCGCACTCCGACTCCATATATGGTAGCGACACGGGAAGCGGGATCATCCTGGACAACAGGACTAGCAGTATCCTGGAGAGTCGAGACGATGGGTACGGACGGATGGACTCTGCAGCGCACATTTGAGATGTTCAGTTCTGTCTTTGCCATTACTTTCCAGTTTTTTCCTCATCGTCTCCAATAACTAAGGGGACACCACTCACTATAGTTCTTGTATTTCTGTGTCTTTTGGTAACCTTGGTGTTTGTTAGTGTTTCAATTGTTTGTGTTAGGATTTCTGTCTGTTTGGTGCCTAGTAACTCTTGCCTAAGGTTTTTGGTTTCAGTCATTAGCTCCTGCTTTTTTATTGTTATCTTACACAACAATGAGTAACTGAGATTTTTCCAAATAACAAAACAAAGAGAGACTGAAGCCAATCAATGTCAACTATGTCCCCTCCCCAGGTCAGAGGACTCTAACAAGCGGCCCCCTGGTACTCCGGGGACCCCCGGCAGCAGGGACCTGGAGGCAGCCCTGCGGCGTCTGTCCCTCCGCCGCGACAACTACCTCTCAGAGAAACGCTTCTTCGACGATGAGAGGGAGAGAAAGCTGGCGTATCTGGCCAAAGAGGAAGAAAAGGGAGGTGAGGGGAGCAGTGGAGGCCCGGGCACACCGGCGGAGAGCCTGCTGTCGCTGTGTTCGCATCCCTCCTTCGGAAGCGTGTGGTCGGGGTACTCCATGTCAGCCAGATCCTACCTGCCCGATAAGCTGCAAATTGTAAAGCCGCTAGAAGGTGATTATTCCTCTCAGAGACACAAGTCTTCTATTTCTGCACATCATGCCAAAGAGAGTCTGAATCAGAATGACTTGCACAACGACAATGAACATTTTCAGAACTCTCAACAGAATGAAAACCAGAGCGTGGCACAAAATTCAAATAGTGAATTTCTAAACACTCCCCAAAGTCCCACTCTGATGAGTCAGACCCAAGCCCCTAAGGACCAGCAGCAGAATCAATATCTGATTTTTCATCAGCGCAGTCAGTCCAAAATCTTTCTGAGTGCCTCACGGGACCCTAAGACCCTGCAGACGAGCTCCAGCTTGTCGGAGCTGAGCAGCCCGCCAAGCTCGCGGCCTCCCCTCAGAGCTCCGCTGGCTTTAGTCACAGGCCTGCTGGAGGTGGTGGAAGAACAGGAAGGCAGTTTAAATCTCCAGCACTCTTTTTACTTCAGACACACACGGCCACGCTGCTGGTTTGAAGTATAGACTTGTACAGACAGCCCGCTTTGTGCTGCTGATTTGAAGCATACAGTTTGTCAAAAAGCCATTAACACCGCCTAACAATTTACACATAGTTTTGTGCTGGATATGTTTTTCAAAGTAGACTTGAATGTTTGTTTTTCTTGTATTTAAGAAATTCAACAGTCATGGAAATGTATACCACAAAAGGATCTCTCTCGATCTATCGATCGATCGATCGATAGATAATCCCTTTTTATTGACATATACACATACATGAAATTTGACCTCTGCATTTGACCCATCCCTGTATATAAGGAGCAATATATATATAGTATAATCTGCTGCAATGTCAGCGCAAATTATGAGAGCACTGAATGTTCCCAGTTTTACATTTATCCCAAACGCATCACAAAAGGTGAGCACTTTACACCGTTTTTCTTTTTGTTTGTTTTGCAGTGACTGATTCAGTATGTGGTACTTTAAATGGCACATTTGTTTTTCAACACAGTTTTCTTACACCTTGTTTTTTTAAAATAGAGTTCTTTATTATCCAATGATTAATTATAGCAATACTGTATTGGTTGTGGAGTTTGTAGAGTTTAACTGTTGATATATTTGTGTCATTATTTAGTTTGGGACTGAGTATTTAAGAAACTATTTTCTCTCCATATCCTAACATCGTTGGGTTGGCCAAAAAAAGCAACGTCTGCCTGAAACCTGAAGATATATTTTTGTACATGTGCAATTACTAGTCTACGAAGCGTGACTTTAAAAAACAAACTACTAAAGGACAGAAATTGTGAAAAACTGCCATCGCAAAGGTATTTTCTGTTTTGTGGCACCACCTAGTGTTCATACTCAGTGACAACACTTAAGGCATGGTGGGAAAGAAAATATGCGGAAGTGTTTGATTCCAAGTCTAATGATGGTTGGTTAAGATGTGAGAAATAATCTAGAAACTTTCTTTTCCTTTCACCTAAGATTATGACAAAATGAATAGTTTTGACATTATTCTCATTGTATGAGCCTTTAATGAAGAGAAACCAATCCACAGATTTGTTTTGCTACATTACTGCTATACTACTGTATGTACTGTCCAGCCCTTTCACTCCTCTCTTGTTCGCCTTTTCTTTTCCTCGTTTAGGTTTTGTCTTGTCTTTTTCACTTTACTTCATTTTCTGTTCAACTTGTCTGTTTTCTTTATTGATGATTTCTTAAATAAAATCTTACTCATTTTCTTACCTTCCCTTTTCTCTCATCCTTTTTGTGTTAGTCTTATGAGTTCGTGTACTGACGTCTCTCAAAGGACCCTCATGTATCACGAGAAAACAACCATTCATTCGACTTGAAATGAGACCAATTTACTAGGTGCAGTTTGCTTAATGAATACAAAGACATTGCCTTCTGTGGCATTCACGGTCACTGCAATACTGCATATGTGACTGTGTGTGTGCGTGCGCTCTATCTGCTTGCCCTTGTATGTGTGTATATATAGTATGTTTGCCAGTAAACGACTGGAGCATATTTTGGTCTATTTTTTTTTTTTTTTTACACATTCAAACATATAAATGAACAGAAATGTCAATGTCTACCTACAGTATAGTACTATTTTTTTTTTTACAGCATTTGACACCAATAAAATGTCAAGTTCATAGCAGTTAGCTGAAACATGGTTCAGTGAAGCAGGCCTGTGACTGAGTACAGCTGTGGTCTCCCTTCCTCAAATCTTGCAAAAGCCCCCTTGAGAAGGCAGTCAGCTATTTGGTGGACCGACCAATTGTATACCAATACCAACTTTTAGATATCATTTAACCTACAGTAAGATAAGTTTTTCTCTGACCCTTTTTTTTTCTTTTTTTTTTTTTTCCCCTAGGCTCTGCTACTCTCCATGCATGGCAGCAGTTGGCTCAGCCCCACATGGGCGCTCTGCTGGATCATCGGCCCGGTGTGGTCACGAAGGGCTTCCGCACTTTAGAACACGAGCAGGAGCAAGAAGAACCTTGGCACCTGGACCAACCGGAGGAGGACGAAGTTTCGTGCGACTCATTCACCGGCTTGTCGGGAGGGAGCTCTGCTCCCATGGATCCGCCTCGCTCTACCTCTTCTCCGTCCGCCTGCTGCAACAAAAACAAAGACGTCGATGACGATAGCCAAATAGAAACAATGCAAGGCAACATGTGCAGGGCAAGAGAAGCGATTCTAGCAAAAGATGGACATGTTGCAAATGTACCTCTTTCCTTCTCTTGCCTCTCCCCTTCTTCTCCTCCTCCTCTCCCCTCTTCTTCCGAGATGAACGGGCACGTGGACCTCAAGGAGCTCCAGGACCGTATGCCTGGTGAGGGAGCACTTAGCTGAGGTCACTGCACTGCATCCGTCTACCCTTGTAACCCTGGAGCATTGGGGATAAAGGGGGAGGGAGGGTGAAGAGGAGGGGTTGGAGGGTGAGGGATTGGGGAAAGCATTCACTGGACATCTCACAACCCCAATGTGACGTCCCTTCCTGCACGATCACGCTCATGTGCACACACCTGCACATCCACCCATCCTACCGGCAGCCCGTGTGTGTGCAGCCATCGAACCCCATCAAAACAGAGTACATGGTTTTTGTTTTTTTTGTTCATTCATTTACTTCAGCTTACATCTTCATAGTCTTCCTACTCAGTTCACGCCTTCTTTCGCTGCCACACTTTGCTTTATTTCAACCAATCAAACTTATTTTCCAATCGTCCACCTTAGCTTTCCTCTTCAAAACGTCTACAACTTTATGGTGTTTTAAGATTCTAAATAATAATCTCAATCTCCTGCAATCGTAACCTGCGGTACACAAGTTTTTCATGTTTTGGTGTAATTTATTCAAATTTGATTGAGAAAATATTACCTATATAGTAATTCACTTCTTCTAGCACCAGTTAACCCCAGTTTACCACACAAACGCAGGCACACAGAAATATCATGGCTTGGGTCCAGAATGTGGGCACGTACGTGTATATCAGGTGTTATTAGTGCAGCTGTCCGAGTCGCATGAACACATGACGCCCATAGCTGGTTAATATTGGACTTGACTTGTACGGTCACCTTCGTCTACACATATGATTTATTTATGGATTGCAGACATTTAAAAAAACAAAAACACTCATTCCCTACATGGTCCCAAGCTGCTAAGAGATAAAATACAAGACATATCAAATTAAATGATAAAAATCTTGAAATACAAGGACAATTTGATGGCTGAAGTAAGTCACTGACATTGTCATCTAGAGGCCCTATTCGGTTTTAGCAGCTGTATGTGTAACAGAAGGCTGTTCCACAACATGACGCCAGTGTTTCTAGCAATATTATTTACTCGAGGCACATAACATGAATGCACAGTGAGCAATGCTGAGCAAGTATCATTGTTATCTATGAACACAAGTATTGAGGCATATTCTACCCTGAGCTGTACTGGCAGCAGTCTTACTCTTCTAAAATCATCATTACCTGATCACACATTGTTCTCGTCTGAACATACAATACAGTCAGCCCTATAAGGGGTCTTTATAATTAAAGACCCCTTTTAGGTCTGACCTTATCTTACCCACAATATTTAGTGAAGAAAATAAAAAAACAATAGCTGAATGGTGTCCATGTATTTAAAAAAGAATAGTACTGACAGTAACCGTCAGCTTCACTGCCTTGCTATTCTATCTACCTGTGGTGGGCTTTTTATTTTACTGCATCTGTATTTCTTCAGTATGTTATTGCTTATTAATCATCCTCCCATCTATTTACTTGGTACAATACAAACTGAGTAAATAGATGGGAGGAGGTCATGCCAGATGCTTAGACGATAGAAATATTAAATTTTTGCCTTGAGCAAGTAGTGATGCTCTTATTTCATGAAAAAATACAGTACAAGTTCAAGCTTCCGCAGTTGGAGTTTGCAAATTCAAGGTAATTAGTATGAAATTCCTGCTTGCATGAACGGGATGGCTACAGCAGTCATTGTGAGCAACAGAATATAACAAATGGTAAAATGCCTCCCTCTGGGTGCCCACAACGCACACCCCATCGTCACGTCACTGTCTCAGAAATTAGGGAGCTAATGTATGCTGGTGCTTTAGCTTGGGGCTCATACTGCAATTCTGGTCTATTTTCGTCTCCGCTTTGTGTACAGTGTTTTAGCAGCGTTGCTTGGTACCTCTTGTCTCAGCACTAACAGCCTTGGCATCTGTTCTGTTCTCCTCCTCTCTTCTCTCCTTTAGTTCATTTCCCAGGCAAGAGTATGTCCAACACCAGCTCCACATACACCTTCACCACCTGCAGGATTCTCCACCCTTCTGACCAGCGGACCTCTGTGTCCCCAAGGTAAACATCTTCAATACCAGAGTACTTTTGTATTACTGCTGTACTGTATTCAGCTTTAAAATGGCTGCAATATTGCGTAGTCCATGGTTTGTACAAATGAGTTTAGTGTTCTCGTATTATGAACAATTTGAGTAATTTTCCTACCTGTATTCTATTTTTGCATATAAGTTTTTTTTCCAAATGGCACATTAAGGAGAGAGAGAACTGCTTCTATATCCACTGTAAACATTGGAAGCCTTTACATAGAAAATGAATGACAACTTACTGTCGTAACGGCTCCCCACTGTGTTCTGTAAATCAAGCCGCTTCTCAGCCAAGGAGCAAATCCCCCTCTTGTTCCCCTCCAATAGATTTTGAGGCAGGGCTACTTTGATGCCAGAGCACCTGGCTGACTTCATGCTCTCTGTGTCCCTGCCGTCTGATTGGCCTTGGCAGGTCATGTGATGAGGAAGATGAAGTGGAGTTGTACCATGTGGTTGTCATGGCCGGAGTAGAGCCGACCCATTGAGTGCATCCACTGGGGGGGTGCACATGGGTGAGGCAATGCATGGGAGTGCGTTCCTAAAGACTGTGGGTGTGTGTGCGGGTGTGTAAACCAGAATAACATCAGCAATCTGCCCCAAATCCCCAAATAGTCGCATCACTTTCAACATGTCCCTACCTAACAATAGAGCTTCTGACACAGTGCTATGACTCCAATCACTGATCAAATCTAACTCTGTTGAGATGTGAGCATGGACGCTCATTCTTGCTGTATATGGTGAACATCATCTGATCTAATTTGACCACATCTAGCATGGTGATCATGTGACTTTAATCTGGTCCTAACAAGATGTACGTGGGTGGATATTGTAACCCCTGTCTGAATTCAAAGCTGGCCCCTGGCAATCCAATGTCAGGGATTCAGCATCTACAACAAGCAATACTACACTTTAAGACCCGAGCTGGTGCACCCAAAACACAGGACCCACTGTGGGTGAGGACCCAGGACCAGAGACTTAACTCACCCCTGAAGCGGATAACAGCAGCCGTCTGAACACCAGACCCAAAACTGTTCACAGCACTGGGTGGGGAAAGATGATTGGCATCAGGCACCAATGGTCTACTTTGAATCAAGAGAGGGGTCAAGAGATCCTTCATGTATATGACCACATGACCCAAAAAAAGGTCACGTGACTGCACCTGACTCAGCTGGATCAAGTGATTGTTTTTTGCATTAATGCGCTCTTATATTTGACTTACTGTGTGGTAAATAGTCTGTTTGTAAATGTGTCTGTAAGCCTTGATGCTCCTGAATGGGGTTGCCATTTAAGAAATGTTATTTATCACCAAATTTGCCCCATGGTCAGTGATAAATAACATATTTTAAATGATAACTAAGTGATTTTATGCAGACATGGATGAGGCCCAAACGTCCCAAATAGGAGACAGGTTTGATTCCTGCATGGCTATGTTCAAGGTTGTCGATAAATGGTCTTAATTGTCACTAAAAGCCAAGTAAGAGGACTTGATAACTCATGTCTACTCATTTCTGTTTCTCCTGCTCCATTCACACCCGATGCCCCCTGTTTTTCCGCTACTTCCTCCCTCTCTCTCATCCCGCTTCTCCTCCCCTCACTCTTCCACCTCCAGCTCAGCTCTAGCCTCTTGTCAGAGCAGCGCTTGCATCGGCACCCCTACCCCCACCTGCTCTCCTGTTCCCTTCTCTTCCCCGCCCACACCGTCGTACACCCCCTGCTGCACCCCACGCCGCCTCTCCCTCTCCCTCTCACTGGCGGAGTCCTCCACCAACCTCAGGGACTCCACCAAGACCACCAGCACTTCCCTGGGCCTGGTGCGCCTCCTGCTGGAGCACGGGATTTCTGCCTCGGTGTACGATCCTCGCAGCTGGGACCGAGGGTTGGATGCCAGCGGAGCTTCGACACCCGTGGGAGGAGCGCAGGCGCAGCGGAGTGTCGGCATACCGGAGGAGACTGAACACAGGCGATTGGTGAAACGGCCAGACACCCTCCTCCTCCAGCCCTCCATCCCCCCGAACTCCCCTCGTTCCAAATCGGCCTCTTCTACCACCAACCGCCCAGTTTTTCAGTTCAGCCCTTCCGCTGATGACCCGCCATTTTATGACACCTTCCTCGCCTCTAAGCCAGCTCGAACTATTCTGAGGGAAGTGCTCGGGGAGGCGGAGAGGGAGCAAACGGATGACGACGGCCAAACGGAGAAGCTGAACCTGCGGCTTGTGGACAAACTGAAACGCTTCCGCACCCTCTCCTCTCGTGCCGGTTCTGTTTCATCTGGGAGTACTCTCTTGGCCCCCTTTGGCACTTCCGGACTGGGGAACAGTGCACTGGGTGGGGGGCTTCCAGGTTTGAATGCAGGGCTCAGGAGGAATCGAAGCTATCCTGCCATGGTCGGGGCTAGTATGGCTATGAAAGACCCGGGAGGCCCCCCCAGCACAGAGATAGTCATACCGCATACGATGCAAACCCCACATACCCAACACACAGTGCACACACAGGAAATGGACAAAGTGCAATCAAATCACACACTGGCCTGTATACCACAGACACTATGTGAACTGGAAACGGTCACACCAGAGTTAAAACAGAGACGCACCCGGCCAAGCGACGGACTGTGGCATTTAACAAGCAATGACCAACACAGCGATGATGAAGCTGGGACATAACGGGAGATATCCAGTGTATTAGCTCATATTACAACACACTGCAACTCACGTTTTACAGTACCATACACATACAGCATTACACATGTGCAAACATAACATTTTTCAAAACCAAATACCCTTATGACTATATAGACATCCTTCAGCTATCCACAGACCAAACAGCTAGAGTGATGAACAGCAGTGCAGTCCACCTACAGACTCAACTAAACCAAGTCCGCTCTCCTAACCAGTCCAGTCCCCAGTAGTGGTTGACATTGTTACACTGTTTTATACTCGTATGCTGTCAGACCAAACTAATGATGATGGAGTATGTTGCTTTCCTCTGTGCCCATTGTAATTGTGTATTGCATATGCAATATGCTGTGTCATACATAGTTTAATATTAATGGCCCAATCTGGTGGAAGTACTGCAGAGCTTTCCCACAACACTTTTCTGTCTCATTTTCCTTCTCAACCTGAATAATGCACTTTAAAATACAAAAACAATATATGCATTTAATGTACTGTGCTGACCCAAATGATGCAAGGTGACAGTTCATTGCTTCAGACAAAGGTTGTTTGTCGCCTTCATGTCGCTTTCATAGCAAGTTTCTGCCGTGGCACTGCAACACAAAAAGCCCATCAGACCATCATAACCAACACATCTATAAAACGGGTTGACGGCAGAAAAAAGGTATTTTTCATTTTGGTCTTTTTAATTAAGGACCAGAGTGCAGGATTTAGTTGAATCTATTGGCAGAAATGGAATATCATTTTCAATCTACAACCACACCGCAAGATGGCACTAAATCCTACAGCCCTTTAAATATTTGACACTTGTGAAAACTTTGTCAGAGTGAAGCAAGTGACTGTTTTATGCGTCATGTCACCTCAGTGTTGGAGCTGAGACTAAGGATGGAGAGACTAATGTCAAAGCTAACCAGGAAGACAACAAAAGAGAGATACAGTCATAGTTAAGAGGGCTGCTAGTCTATTACCGGAGCCTAAATGTAAGGGTCGGCTTATATATTTATTTTTTTCATACTGTACTGTATTTTTATTTAAATGTGGCAACACATTCAAACATGGTTAGTTTTCCTACCTTTTTAATTTCAAAGTGCAAAATATTGTCACCTTATATTCGGGCCACTGGTATGTTTACGTCCTTAATTGCTCCGGAGTTAAATGGAATTGTCACATGCAGTAGCATTGGCCCTAGAGATTATTTTCTACCAGCAACTCTTTTTTTTTTTTTTTTTTTTCTCTCCTCTCTGCATGTAATATGTATTAGAATCCAGATTGGGACTTTAATGTGCGATCTCACTGTGACTCACTGTTCCTATGTGCCTATTAACAGCCAACATACTGTATCTCATTGGAGTATGGGTTTGCATTTGTATTATTTGATTAGTTAGTCATTTTAATGCAGTAGAGAGTGCATGAGAACAACTGTGCAGATCAATGTATTTGCATCTGAACCTGCTGAAGGTCCCCACATATTCTCATTTCTATTTGTTTTTGTCTCCTACGGAGTTTGGGTGAAGCATCCCCTTCAGTTAAAATCCACAGGTACATGTAGCATATGAACGGTGATGCAGAACAGGTCCAGCTACACAGACGCCCGTTAAAACACTGTGACTACAGACAGCAAGAGGCCCGACCGGCACAAAACACTAAACTTGTTTTGACAGATTCGCTTTTTAAACCTGGATCACATCCATCGCATACATACTGACCGCATACAATTTATTTTGTCGAAATCAAACAAGCTTGTGGGTGGAGGAAAAAAAGCAATGTTAATCATGATGGAAATGTGTATGTTTCTGAATGTAACTGTAAAAAGGAGTAACTTGAAATATCCAAATGTTGGTTTTAAGAGCGAGAGACTGAGCTTTCATCACAGTTTTGTTGCTGAAGGAAGGTTTTTGGGATCTCTGACCCACTGACCCACTCTCGGGAACACCCCAGACATCTAGCACACTTTATGTAAATCTTACTCGGCTATATTTGAAAAGAGAGCATCACTGTTAAGATCGATCCCTTGCACCCTCATGCTGATCATGTAGGTGTCCGTTAGAGTCTGAAGTCGGACACTGGGACTGGGTGACTGCTTGTCCGACTGACAGTGAATGAATGGACAAAATGGCCGGCTCTGATGCCGGCAGTGATCTATTGAAGTCCTTAATGATTAAGGGATTGAACTAGTCCACGATATTGAGTGGGAGATTAATAATCATTAAATATATTTATTAAATATTTGGGTTATTAGAAGCACACATACAACTGAATGTCCATTGTAGATGTTTGAGTGAAGGGACCTTTGCAGATTGTATTTATGTTTTTAACAGTCGCACTGACATTTTGAATCATATTTCATTGGACAGTTTATGTTCTGGTTAAATGATAAATATTTCTCCGGCGCTAGTAGCTACACAGATATTTCCAAAGGGTACAGTTAGATGTACACGCCAACAGTACATTGATGCTGCCATAATGGTTGCACATTTGGGGTGAGAAACAATTTATACCAAGTTCTAAGACTGAAATGAGGAGTTGTGTGCGTTTGTGCTTGCTTTTCTGTGTCAAACTGAATCATCTGAATGTAAGTTATTACAAACAGCACTCCTGCTGTAGGGCCATACACATGTGTACAGTATGTTGATTTATTTTCAGTTTGTGTTAACCTCAAAGGGGGAACTGTTATTACATTGTAATGTATGCAACACATATAGTCATGCTAACTTTTTCTTTTTTTAAAGATGAACTGTAACGGTCGAACAAAAATACAGGGAATTAAGTTGTTTATTTTCAGTAAAGAGGGAAAGAAACTTTTCTGTTCAGGGACTGAAGTGTTTTGTTCTACAGAACAGACCGCACCGTCAATAAATATGAATACATTAACAATGACTTGTTTGCCTCATTCAGCATGGAATAATGTAGTCATTAAATGTCAACTTTGACAGGATGTGAATGTTTAGCCGTTCAAGAACCAGAGATATGACTTCTCTACTTCTCCATTCACAGCACTGGCTCCCTGGTAGAGCCCGCATTCAAATATGCAGTGCAGTAAAGCCATTGCCGGAACCTTACACTTCGACATGACTATTGCACAACTTTGCCTCTGCAACTCGTACTCCTTTTGGTAGAAATAAGCAGAAACACCTATCAAAGAGTGGAAAAACGTCACAGCTTAAAAGGCACACTGGTCCACTGACACTCACTGCTTCGTAGACTCGTCTGCAAATAACACCAAGGTCCCGTAAACACATTAACAATAATTAAAAGCTGAGAAAGTGCTGTTTGATCTGTGATACATCTGCCTGTTAATTGAAGTACAAGTTGGTATCGCGCCTGTGTGCATTTAGACTGAACCCATCATAACCTACTGGGTCAGTGCAGGTAGTGATTACACCGCGGAGCCCTTTCACTTTCAACTTTTGCGGCTCTAGTGCTTTCAGTTCCAGCGTTATTCCACCGGGAGGCAGTGTGTCTCAGAGAGCAGCACTGGCAGCTGGTGTAAACACAGACCACGGCCAACTCTAAGCCAGGAAAAGTAAAGCGAGGAAGCTCTGAAAGATTAAGGAACGCACCCAATGTTGGTCTACCAAACCCATTTGTCTCAGAATGGAGCTCAGCAAGTCTTTCTCTGAGGCTTCTCCTCCATCCCGTCTTTCCTACAACTGCACCACCACTCTTTCTCTTCACTTCCAAACTAATGTTGGTGTTGCAACAGAAGTGGGTTATTCTTTTGCAGGTTGATATTGATATTATATTTGTGTGTATGTTATCGTTTTGGTGAACCAGATGGAGGCAGAAAATCTGACTGAACATTTGAACTGTTAAAAAAAAACAAAAAACGATTATTATTTCTTCTTCTTTGATAAACTAATTCCGAACCATAAATTGTAAAAGCAGAGAAACAGAGATGACAGAGAGCCACTCAGCCAGTCCACTCACTTTCTGAATAGAGGGATGGAAAATGAAGAGAGGGGACAGATGGACAGAGGCAGCACTGGATGCTTACGGAATGGTTTTTGATGCTTAGTGGAGGACTAGCAGGTGTGTGTGGTCCCACAGGGGAAATGAAAACATTCTGCAGAGTTGAGTCAGTCGGGACAGAAAAGTAAAGACAAGCAGGAAGAATGAAATGATGGAGGAGAGGAAACACTTTTTTTTTTCTGGCATGTCTCGGTCAGCTTGTCTAGTGAAGTTGTTCGTCTGTGCAGATTAATATTTGGGCGGTCCGTTACATCTCGTCATCTGTGGAGGAAGGTGATCAGATGGAGCAACAAGAACGCAGCAGACAATCAGATTAACGCTGCGCCCGGTCCGTGCGGATCATTGTTGCAGCAAAATGTCTAAAAGAAAAACAAAACAACTCTTACGTAAGACAAAATAACTGCATCTTAACATTAACATACATCTGAGTCATAGAAGCCGTCTTTCCCTCGTAGGCCTACAGACGTGTCCCCAGATAACGTAAGCCTGGATCTCCACTGGGCTCTTGCACTTTACTAACTCTGCTGTTCGTGCTTCAAAGCCTAAGACTACTCAAGAGACTCTTAGGCACGGAGTAATTAACAGCAGCCGGGAGAGAAGGGCCACTTCAGCAACAGGATGTGTGATCATGCCCTCAAGAGGTGAGGCATGCTGGGCTGCAGAGCCAACATCCTTCGGCAAAGACCCCCTTCACACGAGGAGACCAACAGGAGGGCTTTTCGGCTTGTGCAGTCGACTCACATGCTGCCAGCATTTGGTAGCTGACTATGAAAGCTGAATATTTGTTCGACAAAGCCTATCTTTTGTGATATTAATTAGCTCATGGGTTATTTCTGTGGAAAAGACACCATCATTCAGGATCCTCTGTTCCTCACAAATGAAGATACCGGAGACAATAAATCCGACAAGAGCTATGAAACCATGTTGTAGGAAGAAACTCACTGGATCCAAAGGCTCCACGGCTGCACACGTTACTTTTATGATCCCCGGCTTTTTATAGCAGCAGGTCAATGTTTTCACTTGTCCTAAAAAATATCTCAACTACTTAACTCTGCAACCACAAGGTTTGACATCTGTGGATGGACTGCCAACATTCAGACATTCATGTTCTCCACATGCAGGATAAACTGTGATTTTCTTAGATTTCCAGGTGGCGTCATCATCTGGTCAAAATCGAATTCGTCTAATACATGGTTTGTGTCCAAATAACTGAAAAACCAATCACATTCACATCAGCCTCACCAATATTTAACCTCAGATGGGGAACAAAATAAATACCAGCATGGTGGCATTGCACTGTGAGCTTGTTAGCAAACTGACATTAGCATTTCACTCTTGTAACACTGTTACTTAGCATTGATCACTGGAGGATGTGTTAATTACGCTGTGTGCACTAGGATCATTGTATTCTTGATGTAAACGCCTGCAGTCGCTGAACAAGCTTTCAATTTGCCCAATTCACACATTCATGGAGAATTCACTCCACACTGAATTGTGTGTGTTTTTCTTCTCCTCCCTCTGACGGTGTTCAGAGCTGTGAAGCAACCTCTGCCTTTTGGAGATTCACTTGATTGATTCTTTTGCTCATCCTCTCTTTCTCTTTGAGACCAACACACACACCACACACCACACTTTGAGACACCCACACACTCCCTCCTACAGCTGGTCTGTCGGGTTTAAAGTGCAGCCATTAGAGGTGTTTTTAGTCCAGTGCAAACATAAGAAACGTATATTCTGTGGACAACCGGAAGTAATAAAACTGTGAGAGACTGTGTTTCTAGATAAAATAGATAACATCAAATGTTACTTGATCGTCAATTTGTCAGGCGCTTTTGCAGGTATAAATAAAATCATAAAATATGATCAAATGATGACTCATATTATTTAACACTGTGAGCTAACTTATGGTTAAACAGGTAACTGTATGTTATTAAATATTATGGTTTAAGTAAGACAGTGTAATGTTTTATTTCTATTCTTTCTAAGAGTTTACATTTAGGTTTTTATTAACCTTGGTCACACGTTCTTACTGCACACTTGTTATCTCTCTCTGTCTTTTTTCAGAGTTTGTACAGATTTGGTCTATGTCAGTCAAAATCTATTATTTTAAAATCTCCCTGCTATACTTCTAAAGAAAAACAGAGAAAGATGTTAATCTCTGCACAGCCTGACGAAATGTTTATCAGTGACTTTGGGTGCTTTCAGGCTGACTCACTAAATGCAGCATCTGACCCTGTGATGACAAAGCAGGTATCAAAAAGCCAGACACGATTTAGGATTGTTTTGCGATTCTGCATTTCAATTTCATGTCAGTTCATTTTTTAAAACATGGAACATGATTTTCACTTTTTCAGTACTTACTTACACATATGCTGGATTACAGTATTGTTATAACAATAACAATTATTTTTGCAGGCTCTAATGACTTCTATTCAGCATGCATATCCAGAAGTAATTCTAATAAGATCTCATGTTAATCAACCTCAGTCAGAGCCCCTATCTCATTCATATTTATATTTATATACATACATCTTTTATGTGTGTCATTCTGTACGTTTGTTGCAGAACTCTTCCACCTTGAAAAAAAGTCCAATTTTCATGAGCTTTCCCCTTTGGCAGCCATGTATCATGAATATCCTGCAGTGCATTGCCAATTATTTAGGTTGCTTACAACAACATAATGCATCTTTAATACACAGAAGACCATGGATTATCCAGCAATCTACTGTAGCTGCTTAACAACAACCAACTGAAAGAAAAAAACTGAACACCAGAGCAGAAAAAGCGGAGCAGGCGGAACAGCTCTTCTTGGGGTCCTGGAGGAAACGCACACATTGTTTGCATAGATTAAAATAAGGTGGGTGCAGTTGCATTGTGGGAGTTTAAAAGCATGTTTACTCTTGTGCATGAAACATTTAACTTTAAACATAATTATGGAGTATCATAGAGCGCCCCAACAAATAATGACGAATAGAGAATCTTGGCGATCACCTCAAAGCTAACAGTGTCTCTTTATTGCTGAAATATTGTTCATCTACTCTCTCCATGAATCGATATCTTCACAAGCAAGTGTTCAAAGAGGATCTAACACATATGCATGTGTACATGCTACACTATGGCTTTACACACAAAAACTGTAGTTTTGGATACAAAATACACATTCACTGCAATCCCTTTCAACTACCAGCTGCAACTGCAAGGAACTTTCACATTTTGTTGATTGTGGCGGTCTCTGTGGACTAAAGCGGAAGTGTTTCCGACAGTCTTCTCCAGTCAGTCCTGGTTCTGAATCTCCCGTGCCTCCCTTCCCTCCTGCGGGACCAGGAACATGGCCTTGGCCTGCAGTGACGAGGAGTTTCTTGGAAAGATGCATGATTTTGCGCGGAATCCGACCCGGTGGCACCGATGACTAGCATTACGAATAACCATACAGAAATAGAAAATCTTCTCTCTGGTGGTCTTGTTTACTCATGTAGGTCATATAGAGGCATCGCTATTTAAATTGAGACTGTTTCATTCGGTTAAAGTTCCTCCCAGCAACTTTAAGATTGCCTAAACCCTGTTTGAAAAATGACGGCCCTCCAGGCACCTGTCAAGTCATCAGCTGAGTGAGTCTCCTGCTGCTTCGTCACTGTCCTGACACTTCTAGGCTGCTACATGGCTGCGGCTGCTGCTGCCAGTCATCTGTATTTCTGTTCTATAATTACCATAAGGACTGCTAATATTTTTTTTTTTAAATCGGTATACGACACAGTAAGGAGAAATGGAACATACATGATTTACATTGATTGTTATTGAGAGGTTTCATTGTAATATAATCATATGATGGATTTGTACTTTGTTGTTGAAAGCTAACCAAGAGTAGGCCGAGATGACAGAGCTGCATTCTGTCATATCCTCAG